AGAACATAGCTCAAAATGATGAGTAAAAGCTCTATTAATGGAACCATGCAGAAACTAGAGAAGTTCATTCGATTTATACTAGTATCAGACAATACTTAATTATTTATAAATGTTTATAAATAAATAATTATATATTATCTATCTATACTAGTATTAGATAGTATTTGATTATATTATTTAATACTATCTACACTAGACTAGCATTATATAGTATTTACTTATTCTTTTAATCTTTCCTTATATGTAATTTCAATAAAATAATGACAATTTCTATTTTAGAGCAGGTTACTATGCTACAACTTCTCATATAGTCATAGATTTCCTTCATAATATAGTTTTGGAAAATGTGCTTTACTCTATATTCATAGCATACTACTTTATCATAACATACATCTTAAAATCATGGAATTTTATCTATATTTACTCACTACTATGTCTCAAGGGCATTGGACAATATCTGAAACTTGTAATTTCTTGGTGTCCTCAAACTCCTCTCCTATGGCTCTTAAGCTCTTTCTGGTTCCTCTTCTACAGGGGTTTCCTGAGGACAGAAGGAAGAATTTGACAGAGAAATCCCACTTAGGGATGAATGTTCTAAGGTTTATTTTGTTATATTTTTAAAATGAATGTATGAATGGAAACCTAACTACTAGGATAAAGTTTATCAACTGAATTACCACTTATACTTGCTGGGATAGGAAGGCTAGTTTTCTCCAATAGAGTGACACTGAGTATGTCAACATTCCAGGACAGTCCCCATGTTCAGGAATAGCTGACCAACAGTTTTTTGTTTGTATTTTTATATGATTACACATTGACAAGGAGAGGATATGTGAGGACTTGAGGGAAGGGAAAGAATATTAACCAAAATACAGTTGAATTTTAAGTTTTTTTTAAATAACAAAAATATAATACATACCATAAAAAGAATTTAAGAATCATAACTTTAATTACTGATAAAAACAGGATGCCTACCTATAAAGCAAATATGGGATGACAGAACTATTTTAGGCTCTGGTTCTTCAACATGTACTGCTGAGATCAGTGAAGAGCATCTGACAACAGAATTGAAAAAACAGGAGCATTGTGGCAATCCACAAAATGAAAACAATTAAAATCAATGGATTCATAAAGATTTTATTTAACGTATGTACTTGGAGTCTTTTCATTCATCATAGAGTATGGAAATTATGTTTTTTTTTCTGTTTTATGGAATTGGATATTATTCAATCTAAAGACTATGAAAAAAATCTCATGTTGTATTTAGCAGTTAAGATGATCCCAGGACCCAACAGGTATGACATTGGGTAAAATACCCAATAAAGCAGAGAGAGAACCTGTATAGACCATATCCAGAGGTTAGACATGGTCCCTGCTTGAGGAATGGGGCCAATCACCCATTTCAAAATTTTTAACCCAGAATTGCTCTTATCTAAAGGAAATACAGAGATAAAGAGTGGAGTAGAGACTGAAGGGAAGGCCATCTAGAGAGTGCCTCACCTAGGGATCCATCCTATATACAGACACCAAACCTAGACAGTATTGCTGATCCCAAGAAGCACTTGCTGACAGAAGCCTGATAGAGCTGTTTCCTGAGAGGCTCTGCCAGAGCCTGACCAATGCAGATAACTATGCTTTCAGTCAAGAAAGCATATCAAAAAATTCCAATCATCTGACTGAGCACACGGATCCCAATGGAGGAGTTAGGGGAAAGACTGAAGGAGCTGAAGGGGTTTGTAATCGCATAGCAAGAACAACAATATCAACCAATCAGACCCACCCCCCCAGAGCTCCCAGAAACTAAACTACCAGCCAAAGAGTGAACATGGACGGGCCCATGACTCCAGCTGCATACATATCAGAAAATAGCCTTATCTGGCATCAATAGGAATGGAGGCCCTTGGTCCTGTGTAGGCTCGATGCCCTAAAATAGGAGAATACAAGGGCAGTGAGGCAGGAGAGGGTGGGTGGGTGGAGGAGCATCATCATAGAAACAGGGGTTAGGGGGATGGGATAGGGGGTTTGTGGAAGGGAAACCTGGAAGGGGGATAACATTTGAAATGAAAATAAATAAAATAACCAATAAAAATCAAAATAAATAGTAGCAAAACCCAAGATACCCTTAACTTTAAAAAGTAGTTAGAAGTAGATGGTTTACTTTGTTCATGAGTATAAATATGCAAAAATGCATAGATTTTATGTTATAAAAGATTTTTTCTTTTGAAAATTCAAAGATACAGCAAAATACCTCATATCTATTATTGTTTTTAAAATTACAAGATTTTAAACCTTATATATAAACTAGCTGACTTTTAGTTGCTTTTATGGGATTGTAACATAACTACAACTTTCTCACTTCCCTTTCCTCACTCCAAACCCTCCCATGAGCTCTTACCTGCCTTTTTAAAATCTGCCCTCCCTCCTTAATTATGAGACTTTTTATGCATATAGCTGCTTTTATTAAATTAGTTTATTCCATTAAACTTGTCTAAATTCCTATTGTGAATGAATAAAATAGATAATTTATTCAATTCCCTGGTTGATAAATTGTTTAGACAACCACTGTAAGTTTGCCTTGACCATACTACACTTATGAGGAATGTAAATTTCTAAAAGTAAATCTTAGATATATATACATATTTGCTTATATACATATGCATATATGTAATAAAAAATTAAATAGGCCATGGATTCGTGAAGCATATTATATGAAAGAGTATGACAGGGGTTAGATTGGTAAAAATGATATAACTATAGTGCTATTATATGAAGTTATCAAACAAATTTTTAGGATAATCATTTTAAAATAGCTGTGCATAATCTAAATAAAGATAATCTTTATAATTTTCACTCTTATGCTTGAAAAGATGAGGTAAATTGTCTATTTAAAAATTTCTAATTCATACATGAAAAGCACAAAATTAAGAGCTAAGAAGAGAAATGATTCATTTTGGAAACTTTCCAAGTACGGTGGAAATAAAATAAGAGACAAAGAAAAAACACAAAAGTTACACATTACAAAGGGATGTGTTCTTCCATGGTTTACCACTTATTCAAGCCTAGTCTTGTACTGTTTTTTCAGATTATAATTCATACATATGAGCAAATGTTGTTACTCTATTGTAGATTGATAATTCTAATTCAAATATGATCTCATAATACCTTTGCCTTCAGAGGCCAGTCATTTTCTTCTTAAGAGTTTCCAAATGCCAGTTAGACCCTGGAGAGCCAGTCACCTTAGAGACTACTGTGCAAAGAATACTAGGAATTAATATTGAATAAGAAACATCCCAGTAACATATATACACTGTCCTCACTCACTAACTTAGAAAAAAGAGACTTATAGAGAATTGTGACATCTAAGCTGAGATTTCTTCCATAATCACGTAAGAAGAGACATTCTGATGATTGTTTGTAATAGAAGTCTTCTTCAAGTCTTCCATCAATTTTCCTAGTAAGAAGTCTATGAACTTGTCCTACTGTGCTGAAAGTATACAAAGCTGATATTCACACACATAATGTTGATAATCCTATGGACAAAGTAAGTATTCCCACAACTGCTCCTTGGTTCTTAAAAATGGTAGAGAAAAAATGATCAATAAAATAAGCAGTTCTTGTGCAAGAAAGAATATTTGTTTGACTGAGAATTGTTTTTATTGTAGGAGGAAAACTGAATGAATTAAAATAAAGTATAAGTCTAATTCAGACTTGTGGATGTAGATAATACACAAAAATGAGAACAATCTTTTCAAGATGTGAAATTCAAACACCATATGTAATTTGAAGAACTTCCATCCATGTGTTTTATAATTTTTCCATTTACTATGGATACATCAGGAAGGAAAATAAGTCTTGTCTTGATAAACTTTTAAAGGACAGTAGCCTGTGCCAGCAAAGGCCTGATTGTTTCCTTCACAGCATCTGAAACAAAGTTTGGGACAGAGGACAGAGGAAATGGTAGTGCAGTCTCTACATTTCCAAGTCAGAAAGTGGATTCATATTCATTGTGTCTTGTTTTCTCTTCCATTTGACATCTGAAAGATGAATCTGAATTATTAACAGTTTTTAAATACCAGGTGAGTTCACAAGCTTCATCCTAACAACATTCTTTCAAAGTGGACTTTGGCTCTACTAATTACAAATTAGATGGTTGAGAGAGAAAATGTAAGGTAGCATAGATAGATAGATCAATGGATAGATAGACAGGCAGGCAGACAGAATCTAGATAGATAGATAGATAGATAGATAGATAGATAGATAGATGATAGATAGATAGATAGATAGATAGATAGGTAGATAGATGATAGATAGAGATAGATAGATGATAGTAGATAATATAGATGATAGATAGATAGATATAGATAGATAGAGAGATAGATAGATGATAGATAGATAGATAGATAGATAGATAGATAGATAGATAGATAGAGATAGGTAAATAGATAGATGATAGTAGATAATATAGATGATAGATAATATATAGATAATAGATAATGAATATAGATACATATATATGCATATACATATATCTGCTTATTTGTGTGTGAGTGTGTGAGTGTGTGAGTGTGCCTGCATGTGTATGTATGTACCAAAATAGTAGTAAATATATATGGTTGGTATCTAGGTTTTGAATGATATATTGAGTAAAAATGTAGTATTAAGTTTAGGATAAAAAGAAGGAATGCAAATTAAAATGATAAATTTTCAGTCTTCCCACACAAAACTTTTAGAAAAGTTTCTGTCTATGCAGTATCATTGTGTCTCAGATGGTAGTATTCTTTCTGTTTTTGATACTGTATGCTAGGCAAATAATCAATCATTGAACAAAACCTTAGCCAAATAGGTTTCTTTCTGTTTCTAATATTTGACTTTAATTTCTTGCTTTAGAAAATTAGAAGCCACTAGGAAAGTTAAATTTTTATGCACTTGCTAGGCTACTGTATTGACATCAACTCATAAACCATAACACATAAGAGTTGTATTTGATTACAACCCACCAATAATTTGTGTTAGTCTTACCTTATTTCATTTTTACTTTGCAGCTGTTAAGACTTGACAAAATGGCAGAAAGGAATGCTACTGGTGTGACAGAATTTATTCTCTTGGGGTTTGCAGTCCATAGAGAGGTAGAAGTCATTCTCTTTCTGCTCATTCTAGTTGTCTACAGTCTGACTTTAGTGGGAAATGTAGGAATGATTTCACTAATCAGGATGGATTCTAGACTTCACACGCCCATGTACTTTTTCCTCAGTAATCTAGCTTTTGTAGACCTTTGTTATTCCTCTTCAGTAGCCCCCAAGTTCCTGGAGACTCTCCTCAGTAATAGAAGGTCTATATCTTTCTATGCCTGTGCAACCCAACTTGGTTTTTTTCTGAACTTTTTGATTTCAGAGATGTTTCTTCTTGCAGTAATGGCTTATGATCGTTATGTAGCCATTTGTAACCCTCTTCTGTACATGGTGATCATGTCCCAGAAGGTATGCCTACGACTTGTAATGGGGCCTTATTTTTACAGCTTTGCTGTAGCTTTGCTCCACACAGTAGTTACTTTCAAATTGATTTACTGTGGCCCCAATATAATCAATCACTTTTATTGTGATGATGTCCCTTTGATGGCTCTCGCCTGCTCAGACACCAGCCTCAAAGAGATTCTAATATTCATTTTTGCTGGATTCAACATGATCAGTTCTTTGACCACTATCCTGATTTCCTACTTATACATTGTGGCTGCTATCTTAAGAATCCAGTCCACCGAAGGAAGGTGCAAAGCCTTCTCAACATGTGCTTCTCATCTGACTGCTGTGACTATCTTCTATGGGACACTCATTTTTATGTATCTGCAGCCAAAATCAAGCCATTCCCTTGACACAGACAAAATGGCCTCAGTATTCTACACAATTGTCATCCCAATGCTCAATCCTATGATCTACAGCTTAAGGAACAAGGAGGTAAAGAGTGCTCTGAGGAAAGCTCTTGAAAAATGCTATTTGTTACCGGTAATGCACCTCAAGAAAGGAATTTCCTGACTTGTTTAAATCTTTGAAATAAATTCATTTTTATCATACTCTTGATGAGAAAAGTGCTTTCATTCACTATTTATATGCTAGAGTTCTCTAGTAAGGCAAGGAAAATTAAAGATAGGTAGAAAAAATAGATAATATAGATAGGTGATACATAGATAGATAGATAGATAGATAGATAGATAGATAGATAGATACATAGATAGATAGATACATAGATACATAGGTAGAAAAATAGATATAGATTTTGATGATAAAAATAGATGATAGATGATAGATAGATAGATAGATAGATAGATTATAAATAGATTTACTTTTAGGAGATGATTTAGTGAATAAAACATTCCATACAAGCCTGATTTTCTGACTTTGAGTTCCAGTATTGCTATGGTAAGATGGGAGTCTTATATAGAAAACTCCCAGAAGTTCACTGGACAACCAACGTGGCATAAGTGTTGATTAACAGTATGAAATCTTGTTTCAAACAAGATGGAACGCAACTCATAGCACCAGAGGTTCTCTGTCCTTCACATAAATGTCATGGAACAGTTTACCTTTACTCACACATGAACACACATGAACTGAGACATCAGTTTTCCTTCACTCTTAAGTATCAGTGTAAAAGGAACTTTTATGTTTCTGATGTAATTAACATCTCTGAGGCCTACTGTTCAATAAGCTCACTCTTTTTTTTTTTTTTCTGAACTATGACTGGCTGTTTCTATGCAAATATTCTGGCTGAAACTCCTGTTCAATCTGGTTTCTCTCAGCTTCTGACTGAATTTTTTTGCTTGCCAGGAACTAACTCTACCAATCTGTTATAATCTTCTGGTTCACATATAATCCTTCTCCTTCTCTGGCTCATTCTGTCTTTACCTCTCTTTCTCTTGTTCTTTTTAGAACCTGTCTAATGCTGGGAGACTTCAGACTTGGAGGCGGGTGACAGGGTAGTACTCTGGTGTGCCTGTAAAGTCTGAGGGTCACCAGATGTTCTAGCTCTCTAACTGTACTGAAATGCTGATGATAAATTCTAAAAAGTCCTAAAAACTTTGTTGCTCTTTCTGAGGGTACAAAGCTGCTGGCTTAGGTGACTGACACCTGTAGCCTAACAGCTGGGGGAGGGGGGATTAAACAATGTGGCTTTTGCTCTACCTCAGCAGGAACTGCTTGGCTCTAACTTTCAGCCTGCTAGTCAGAAGTCTTAGGAATATAAAGGGACACTGAAAAGTGATTATAGCGTTTATTGATAAGTTGTAAAAATTTCCTATTAAAGCTATCTAAGGAAAAGGAGGGAAAGGAAAGAACCTAAGCAGGGCAAGGGAAAAATTCTTCTTCTATCTCTTTGGTCTCAGTGCTTATATACCTTTCAAAAGACATGATCACATATTTAAAATTTCATCACAAGTTCATACATAAAATCAAATCATAAATTGAAATAGAAGTTTACAACAGAGAATGTATACATGCATATCCGTTAGGAGTAATTACCTGGCTCAGCACCCATTACCTACCACAGCTTTACAGGTTCAAACCATAATTAAGTTAAAAATCATAACTAAGTTATTAGTGAAGTTTTATATAAATAAACTCAGTCAATATTTTATCTTCTGTCCTATCACCTATAATAAATCATTAGTTTCCTTTTTATGACCTTTGGTTAATTGTTTTACATCCTCTTTGAATGTGTTCTGAGTAGTAGAAAGTCTGGTTCCTATCTAGAAGCAATTAGCAAGTGACACATGGGAGACTGGCAGAATTCTCATTGCAGTTTTGACTATAAGAAAAGGATCTAATAAAAGTCTCACTATAAAAGGCTTAATACTCACTGATATGATTTTAGAAATTCTTAATCATTAATCATTAAGAAGTTATCTATTTGTCTATATAGCATCACTACAAGACAGTACATCTTCATAGATCTGCAGAGATCTGCTCAAAAGGGGTGGGCTAATACCTAGTGATTGTTATGTGTGTTGACTGATAACAAGAAAAGCATATTAATAGCAGGAATCTTTCCTAAAATGAATTCTCTTGGGCCTTGTCTATAGAGCAAATCTGTCGTAGATTATAATTCTAAGCAAACAATCTCAGGACAATCACCTGCTAGTTATCAGTTTGTCCTATGATGGCTCCTGACAGTCTAAAAACTGCTCTGGTCAAAAAGAAATCTTCCTTTTTCTCTGCCTGCTCATAACTAGACCTTTTTCTTCTCATGAGAATTGGGCATATCTTATCTCTGATTCTTTCTGTCAAATCTTTCTCTGATTCATCACTTTGTTTGCCTCTCAATTATAAGTCACTTTTAAACTTGGCAACTTCCTTCTACCAGCTAATTTTACCTAAATTGTTTAGAATTAAAGATGTGTACTAAGTTTTGTCTGTGTTGCAGCAATATCATAATATAATTCAAGGCCTGTCTGAATTCTAGACCAATCACATAGATCTAGAAAGTCTCTCTGTGTTATCTCTTGCCAAAAAGACCATGTTGCTGGATTAAATTTCCTCTACATCTGATCCTGGTTTTCAAGCCTTTTGACTCTGGGATATACGTCAGACCATCTTCATCAGCCTCAGTTTTCAAGTCTTTAGGCTGAGTCTGGAAGTAATAAAATCAGGTATTTGTGTTCACGGGCCTTTAATTCATATTTATTAAATCACCGTCTACCAATGCATTTATTCTTTCTTGCAATTAACATATTTTGGGATATATCAACCGCCACATCATATAAACCATCTGTCTACCTATCATCTATCTATTATATATACAATAGAATACACACACATGTATATATGTATATGATACATATATATACATATACATACATATACATACATATATACATATACATATATATATATATTCGTCTTTCCATCTATCTACCTACTAGTCCCATTAGGTTTATTATGCTAGAAAAAGCCCACATGGAAACAATTAACATATCTCTTGTTAAGTTATCATTTTCATAGTGTAAATCTGTTTCTGGAGACTCTATTAACTATCTTAAGAAAAACTGAAGATTATGTCTCAATTACTTAAGTAAAGTACTGATTTCAAAATGTCTTTTTAAATCTTGAAAAAAATGGAGATATTACAATAGAAAAGAATATCTTAAAACCAAGTGGCCAATATGGTGGCTGTCAGTAGTCTAGATTAAAAATTGAGCTGTGGCGCCCCGGGCAGAGGCAGTAGTGGGAGTATTTCAGGCATCTGGGGGAGCCGCCCCACCGTTGTCCCCAGTCCAGGGCATAGGCTCTTTGGCTGCCACCACGATCTGAATGGGCAGCACAGCCTGATACTTGGGCTGGGGGCTGCCATCCTTCATGCCTAACGCCACTGCCAGGACCCTGGTAGCCAGTGGCTAGTGTTGGCAGATGGAAGAGTATAAGGAAGAGCCTTCTCAGGGGTGGAGGCAGCTCAGGAGCCTACAGTCCGGCCGCCTGCCTCAAACAGATCCTTTTGTGCAATTGGACCTCATCAAACCGCAGCAGCAGCAATTGCAGGCCAAGGAAAAAAAGATTCAGAGTTGCTGAAGTCCAAGAGAGACATGCTCCTTGCTCGGATTGAACCGATGGAAAGGCGGATGCAGCTCATAAGAAGGGATAATGAGAAAAAAAGGCACAAGCTGTTTCAGGGCTATGAAACTGAAGAGAGAGAGGAAACGGGGTTGTCTGAGAAAATTAAACTGGAGCCCCACCCGGAGCTTTGCGAAACATCCTAGGCTCTGCAGTCCAAGCCTTTCTCATGTGGCAGGAGTGGAAAGGGTCACAAAAGGAAAACCCCATTTGGAAATACAGAAAGAAAGACTCATGTTTAAAAGATGGCTTCTGGATTTTCAAAAGTCAAAACAAAAACTCCGAAGCACTCTCCCATTAAAAAGGAAACCAGTGGTTCCATATCAGAAACCGTTTGTAAATGTGAGTTGAGGAGCCAAGAAACTCTTCAATGGATACCCCACCAAACTCTCAACTCCCCAAAAGGGACCCAGTGCTCACCCCAAGGAGAAAGCCTTTTTAAGTGAGATGGAAGATTTGCCTTACCTTTCCACCACAGAAATGTATTTGTGTCCTTGGCATGAGCCTCTCTCATCATCTTTACCATTACAGGAATCCTCTCCAAAGAAGGAGGAGACTGTAGCAAGTAAGGCATAGAGAACACTTGCTCTTATACGTAGTGGTGGTGGCCAAGCTAACAAGTGTGAAATGCCTTTGGCATTTTTTTTAAAAAGTTCAATCAATAAAGCAGAATTCTGTCAAGAATGAGTTAACAGCCAAAAACAGACATTGCATAAGCATTGCAAGTAGACGGAATTACAGCAAAATGTGCTCAATGTTTGTGTCTTCTTACAACACTGGGAGATGTGTTTCCAAGTAAGTTACTAATCATAAGAGCACCAGACTAGAGGAATGTAATTTCTGGCAACTTGTGTGCCCTCTGAAAGAAGGGTTTTCTGTGCTGTGAAATGCATAGAGCTTACACTTTGCCATGTATGATTGTTCCTGCGATTGATATTGTGTGAACTGAGGGAGAGTGGTCTTTGGGTGTTCTCAGGGTCCAATGATTATTTTTGGTTGGGGAGCCAGCTTGGGGTAGGAAATTTCACATGGGCCTCCGCTCTCTTAACTACATAAACATTTATCTGTATCTCTCTCTCTGTTCCTGTCTAGGAACAAGAGGAATCTTCCAAAGACCAAGTCTTCCTTTACTGCTCTTCACAATATTTTAAGATGTGGAGAGTTCACTTGGATTGCAGTAGCCCATTGGTTGTTCAAACATTTAAATAAAATGGTCTACAAACAAACAAACAAAGAGTTGAGCTGTGTTTGGAAGTAGTCAAGGGAAACAAACTTGAAAACTCCTTAAACACATAATGAGGTAGCTCATAACTGTGAGATTTTAGTATTTCATTACTTCTAAATTCAACAGTGTCCTCTGGTAAGGGATAACTGTACAAACTTCATTTTTAAATCATACTTTTAATTGGTTTCGAAATTAGTAGGTTTTCATAGTTTTGTCCATATAGGGTTAATTTTGTTTAAGACATTGTTTGCGTATTACCTCCTCATCTCCCTGCCTCTGTCAC